TCGTACTACAATTTATTATTATTATGCGATTTGAATTATACTAGTGGTGCTTGGCATCGTGCTTTAAGGCAAATTACTGGAACTTCCCGTACCGCAATTAAACATTCGAGGAATGAAAATAATCAATAATTATTTTGAATAGTTTCAAATAGATTATTTATTATAAATTCATACTGTAAATTTATAAGTGCTTATTAAATTGTGCGACGAGCGTATTTTATAAACAACTTATGTGTATGTTTACAAGAAATTTGTTCTTTTTTTTAAATTAGTTTTATTTCAAAATTCTGATTTTTTTAAAAGTCTGAATTTTTTAAATTTTTTTTTTTGAGATCGTTTTCTCTAATTTTTTTGGGTATTTGGAAAATTTGAAAATCGTTTTTTTTAATTTTCATTTTTTTGAAATTTTTAATTTTTCTTTTTGAAAATGAAAAATCGAAAAAGAAAATAAAAAATTTCGAAAATTTGAATTTTTTGAAAATCTTGGTACAGAACCTACAATAATTTACACAAAATGTGTACACATTATTAAAATATCTAATAATTTGATGTGCATATGTCAAATGAACATTTTTGACCGCCAAATGGCATTTTTTTAAACTTATTTTCATTGAGAGTCTATTACCCCTAGACCTGCCTTCCTAAAAATTCAATCAGTTCTTCATCTTGTCAATATAAGTAAAATGTTTTTTGACTTATTAAAATCGGACCCTCCGTTCTCTAAAAACTCAGTTACCGTTTTTGGCACTTCTTGCCCCGTATCTTGCGAACGGCTAGACCTGCCTTTGCAAAAAACTGATCAGCACGTCTCCTTATCAATACGAATCGAATGTTTTTTGAATTATTCAAATCGGTTGATCGGTGTTCTCGAAATCGTCGACGAAAATTTGTATCCGCAAACACAAACACACGCATGCACACACAAATACATCCATTTTTTCTAAGGTATGCCAAAATGTTCAGAAATCTTTGAAACGTAAAGATATATAAAAAAAATTATTTTTGATTTTTTTGTGATTATTATAACTTGCCCTACGGGAAGTTAATATCTAATTGATAATTTAAGACTTGCCAAAGGTTAGGTTTCAATGTCTTTTGAATATTTTGGCATACCTTAGAACAAATTGATGTATATGTGTATGTTTGTATGTGCATGCGTGAGGATATAATTTTTCATCGATAGTTCAACCGATTTGAATAATTCAAATAGTATTTGATTTGTATTGATGGGGCCACGGACTAATTAGTTTTTGAATTTAAAAACTGGTCAAATTTTTGGGACGTCAGGTCTAACGGTTTCGTAGATCCAATGAAAAAAGTAAAACTAGTGGGGTATGGTATCGTGCTTTGAGGCAAACTACTGGAACTTCCCGTACCATAATAAAATATTTGAAGAAAAAAATTTAGTAAAAAAAGTATTTTTTGGAAATTAAAAAAAAAATTGCGAAAGGCAATCGTTTCGTCAACACAAGTAGAAAGTTATATGAATTATTCAAATCGGATGCTTAGTTTTCTCAAAAACTGCCATTTTTTGCATATTTAGCTCCGTATCTCCGAAACGGCTAGACCTGCCTTTTTTATCAAGAGAAATTTTTATCAAGAGAAATAGAATTTTTTTTAACCACTCAAATCGGTTGATCCGTATATTGTATTGTAATTGTATCCATACATACGTAAACACACAGATCAATTTTTCTAAGGTATGCCAAAATGTTCATAAGCCTTCAAAACGTGAAGATTTGCAAAAAGTTTCAATTCAATAAGCTATTTTGCGGTCAAAAATCATTATTAGCCAAATATTTTCTAAGGTTTGGTTTGGCATACGTATGCCAAATATGTTTACCAAATTATAATATATTTTATAGATATTTTAATAACAAGTAAAAATTTTGTTTAGTTTAACTAATAGACAGCGACGCGTCGCTTATGCGATTTGATATTTATCTTAAAACATATGAGCAGCGCGATTTCTTTGGAGAAAAAAATAAAAACTTTCAAAAAAATTTAAAATATAATAAAAATCAAATTTTTCAAAAAAGTCAGTTACTTCAAAAATTTCTACATTTTCAAAAATCTAAATAATTTAAAGCTTTCAATAGTTAGCTACGAAAATTACGAAGTTCCAGCAATTTGCCTTAAGGCACAATGCCGTGCCCACTAGTTGTTATTTATTAGTACCAAAAAACTGGGTCTGTACATTTCCAGCACGAATAGAATGTTTGTTGTTAATTACTGAAATTTATCGATCTTTTGATCAGTTCCTCAGAAAATGTAGTAGACTCTAATATACGTACATAAAAACGTAAAAAAACATATGTTACACATACATAAAAAATAATCAGGGTATCTTCAAACAAAAATATATATAAATCATTTTAAAAGCAATTTATGAATAGTGTTCAATGGCAATATACAATGTTGTATTTCATTATATGTTATCGTTTTAAAAATAGAATACTACATTTTAATATCATAATATAAAATTACCTCAAAAACCATGTTTTTAAAACTAATTAAAACTAAACAATTATTAATGGCATATTTTTCAAGTGTTAGTATTCTCATTTTCTAGAATATTATCATTACAATGTTGTCTTTGTTTTGAAATTATAATAACATGAACTCATGATCTTATAAAGGCGTTAAGAAAAATTACATAAGAAACGCTGCGGAAAAACAATAAATCTATTATGGTCATAATTGGACATATCTGTATAATATATGAGCACTTGGTGGTTCTAAATCTTAAATCGATAATATTCGCACAATCGTACACATACAGACACATATATATATATATATATTGTATGATTCTGAATTTGATATATATATATATATATATATATATATATATATATATATATATATATCAGATGATTAAACAAAATATTTTTTAAATAAGTACCATCTATATAATAAAAATAAAAATTAAATTAAAATATGTTCCCTAAAATAATTTTAATAGATCCATACTTTTCGAGTCTGAATTTGATTCTTTCTTAGCGGTATGATTACAAAAATTATTGAGACACAAACATAAACTAGGGTTGCATGGCATTGTGCCACGGCAAATTGCTGGAAATTTGCGTACGGTAATTAAACATTCCTGAAAAAAAAACGGTGATCAAGAAAAAATTATCAATTAGTAATAACAATTGTTTAAAATATTTATTATAAATACAGTAAATTTCATCATCGTGTTTTATAAATCTAATATAACATAAGTGCTTATATTTGGGCGACGATCTTTATCTATATTTATCTACAAGAACTAAAGTTAACAAACGCCGTCCGCACAAATAATATTCTTTTTGAATCACTCTAATCGGATGCGCCGTTCTCTCAAAAACTGATATTATTTGCATTTTTTGCTCCGGAGCTTCGAAACCGCTGAATTTCCCTTCACAAAAATGCAAGCAATTATTTACTCAATTATTACGAATAAAATATTTTTTAATCATTCTAATCGGATGTGCAAGTTTTCTCAAAAACTTGTTATTTTAGCGCTTTTTGCAACGTATCTGCGGAACAGCTGGATCTGCCTTTCCCAAAAATCAATCAGCACATCTTCAATACAAATGGAGTAGTTTTTTAATTGACAAAAAATTGTATCTAAACATATGCACACACACACCCACACACCCACACCCACACCCACATACGTAAATCCATTTTTCTAAGGTATGCCAAAATATTCAGAAACCCTTGAAACGTAAAGACATGCAATTTTATTCTCGATTTATCTGCGATAGTAATTGCTCACCCTACAGGAAATTAATAAAAACATAATAACGGGAAATAATAATTCACAACAACCATGTCAGTGAAAAAGAATATACAATATATAGTTCAAAAAATAAACTAAAGGAAAACGATAATTTCGATCATCACGTCTCGAAGGGTAGATTGTGACTAAAATGATTAAATATATAAATTACTAAATGTGACTAAATATATTAATAATTTAAAAAAGTTTAAATGTCCTGATATAGCAACAACATGGGACAATACTCTTTCATTTATAAAAGGTTTATTATCATTTCGAGAGTTTTATTCATTTGTAACATTTGTGATTTTTTATTTATTTGTGACTTTTAAGAAAGAATGATCTATTTTATATATCCTTACATTTCACAAGTTTCTGAGCATTTTGACATTTAGAAAAAATTGATGTATGTGTGTGTGTATATATGTGTATGCGGATACAATTTTTTGTCGACGATTGCGAGAACGCGGATCAACCGGTTTGAATGATTGAAAAAATACTTTATTTGTATTGACGAAATGAAGAACTGAGAAAAGGCAGGTCTAGCGGTTTCGAAGATCGAGTAAAAAAAGTGAAAAAAATGCCGTTTGGGAGTCAGAAATGATCATTAGATATATTTACATCAAATTGTCAGATATTTTATAGAGATTTTAATAATAAGTATAAATTTTGTTTACGTTCCTATGGGTTTCGTACCAATGTTTATCTAAAACAGCCACGAAGCACGATTTCTTAGAAAAAATTTCAAACTTTTCATAAAATTTCAAAATATTAAAAATATTTGCACTTTTCAAGGCAATTTTTTCAGTAATTTCAAAATATCCAAAAACTTTTCAGTTTTCAAAAAATTTTAAAGCTCTTCTAAAAAATTAAATTTTTGGTACGGAAAGTTGCAGTCTTAAAGCACGATGCCATGCACAAGTAGTTATTTTTAAAAAAGGTAATTTTGAAGGCTAAAGGTGTCAAGATCTTAGATGCGTCGTGCTTTGACTAGATAACAAAAATTTCGCCGAAGAAAACGTCCTTAACCTAAAAGTGTGCATCGTGGTTTCGTTTTTGCATTCGAGTCGCCTTAGTAAATACTAACTAACTATAAGTAGTAATAGTATACATGACACATGACACATGACACATGTAAACGATTAGGTTTTGTATCTGTTGCTATTCTATTGCTATTTGTTTCTGTACCGATGTGTATTAAGTTAACCGTTCCCCCTCCTTTGCATATTCGCAGGGAACATTACCGCGATGACGGCGGTGCCAGACTCACACGGCGCAGTCTACGTTTGGCCAACGGGCGTGTGGCATCGCCAATCCAGTTCTCGCTACCTCCGCGCGGCGCGGCTCAGTCCCACGAAGAGATCAGCATCCAGTCTCATCCGGCATCGCACCAGCCCTCGCACAAGGATGAGAACATAAAGATCAGCATCGAGAACACCAACACCTGCACGGACTCACTGGTGACGGCGCTAGACGACGAGACCTTGCTCATATCCGACTCCCTGCTCGGCGACGGCATCATGAATTCGGCGAACGCAAAATGCTCTAGCGGAAAGGTGCATTTTGGTATCAGCACGGGCGCGGCGGCGGACGATGTCTCGCTTTACGGGACGCCCAAGGAAGAGCCCGGGCCCACGCCGGTAGCCGCCTCCATTGGACTAGGAGAGCCGGGCAAGCAGAGCTTTCTCAAGAACCAACTTCAAGCGCTCTTCCAGCCGACCGATAACAAACTAGCCATGAAACTATTCGGATCCAAGAAGGCACTCATGAAGGAACGCATACGACAGAAGGCCGCCGGACACTGGGTTATACATCCCTGCTCGAGTTTTAGGTGAGTTTCAACTACTACTACTTACAATCAATCATTGTGTTAATAGAAGTTGTCAGTTGTCACGTGGATTATTGTGAATTGATTTTTTAAAAGTGATGGGTTTATGTGAACGTTGAGGGTCGCGAATGACAGTGAGTTATTTTTGATTTTATTTGTTCTATTAAATTTTTCACACGTGATTGTGCATATATACATACACACACATATATGTACATATATATAAGTTTTTACGAAATAAAGGGTGAAAATTTAGCCAAAACTTATGGATTTTTATGAAACTTCATTGTTAATGGATGTAACGATTGACCACACTACAGAATATACATATATTAACATGAGATCAATCTAATATATATATATATATATATATATATATATATATATATATATATATATATTAGGGTGGTCCTTAAAATGATCATTTTCGAATTTCCTTGCTCCCAAGTGCTAAAATGGTTCCAAATAGATAAAAAATAATTGTCTGAAAGTTTTAGCTCTTAATATTAATGTTTAGATAGAGCGCAATTCAATCAAAGTTTTGTATGAAAATAGCATGGAAAGAATTTCAAAAATTTTAAATATGTTTTTTAGATGTAATTTAGCGAACAAATGAATGAATAAAACTCATTCATTTGTCGCTAAGTTATACCTAAAACTTTTTTTTTTTAATTTTCAAAATTTTTCCATGCTCTTTCCATACAAAGTTTGATTGAATTGCGCTCTATCTAAACGTTAATATTAAGAGCTAAAACTTTCAGAGAATTATTTTTATCTATTTGGAACCATTTGAGCCCTTGGGAGCGAGGAAATTCGAAAATGACCATTTTAAGGACCACCCTAATATATATATATATATATATATATATATATATATATATATATATATATATATATATATATATATATATATATATATATGTTTTGTAGTGTGGTCAGTCGTTACATCAATCAACACTGGTAATCCATAAAAATCCATGAGTTTTGGCTTTTTCTCCATTTATTCCGTAAAAGCTTAAATTAAATAAATAAAAATAAATAATCACTTTAAATTTCTAAATTGACAATTAGATAGATAATAAAATCATTCTTTTCAAAAAATTAACACTTCTCCATTTTATAAGAATATTTACAAAGATTTTGAATTGTCATATAAATGAACATTCTAGAATTCTATGCGTTGAGATGAACTATTTAGTTTCGATTTATTTTGATTTTTTACTAAATGAATGCTAGAACATTCTCATCTGAAAATGATTTAACTACGTGTATAACTACTGATCTAAAGTTTATGGTCAATTGCATATACATACATATACAGTTACTTATAAATCCATGTTTTGTCTATTTTTTTTTCATAAAAACTAAAATTTTATAAATTAAATTAAATTATCACTTTACTTTGAAATTAAAGTGACGAAATTATAGGATTTTTTTTATAAAAAAATTGCTATTTGGTAGATACTACCTACCATCATTGTTGTGGTAGTGGTTTTGTCATATAAATAAACAATCAAGAATTCTACGAAATGAGATGAACTATTTTAATCTTTCAACTAAATGAAACCTAGGACGTCCTTATAACAAATTCATAAAGTACTTTTTATTTATGTAAAACCTTATCGTCGGAGTTCATAGTTTATGTATATGTGTATATATATATATATATATATATATATGTATATATATATACATATATATATATATATATATATATATATATATATATATGCATATGTATATATATATATGCATATGTATATATGTATATATATATATGCATATGTATATATATATATATATATAGATATATGTATATGTATATATATATACAGGATCAAATTTTAACAGTATTCATAACTGACCGAATACAAATACAAAAAAATGTTCAAAAAATATATTAATTACATTCTGAATATAACTATATTGCTGAGATTATTTGTAACGTAAAGTTTATAATTAACTCTATGGTTAATAAATGTTGTTTTAAATATTTTAAACATTAATATGTTTCAAAGGTTAAAATAATATTTACAACGATAATTATATCAACCATTGCTACTTTATCGCGCATTGCAAAGTTTCATATATCAAAAGCATTATTCAAACACTGTTATTATTTTGCAAAAAGCGTCCTTCAACTTGATATTTGCTACACACTGTTTTCATAGGAAGTCAATTGTGTCATAATTTGCTTTATATTTTACTATTTTATTAAATAATAATACAGCAAATAAGTCAGGCTTTTATTTAAATGAATTTACATGTACTTGAGTATAGTCACAAATGATCGATACGTACAAGAAGAGTTGATGGTAACTACAGATGATTTGAATCTTGATGTCCGAAAATAAGAATTAATAGTGCATACTATAGACATTTTTTCGGAATAATTTGAACAACGTTCAGAACTTAAGGGTCATGTAGAGTTTTATAACGATTTTAATTAAAAACCAAGCTTTTCAGAAGGCCAAACGGTTGACCTACCTCAATTTGATGAATTTTTTATATCAAGTCCTGAAACACTGATTTTTTTATTGAGGTAATGCCGGATAAGGGCTACTTTCACTTTTCAAAACTACTGCTTGACATCAAGTTGTCTGAGGCGGCTATCGAACCTGAAGCTTTTGATTAAAATCCCTTAACTCTAAACAGCTCCAAGCATCTATAATATTGAAATACGTTCAGAATTGTAAAAAAAACTTGAAACCGGAACATAACATTTATATAAGAACATTGCAAATAAATTTATAGTCTAAATATTTTATTAAATTGAAAGTGAAGTTTAGTAAAATGTATTTTTTGATTAGGGTAGGGCGGGACACAAAGGTCTGATTTGATTTTCGGCAATTTTATTGTGAAAACGAAACCAAATATATCCTAACAAATCACACATATTAAACAAGCAACTATCTTATTATGTTCAGTTTAACTCCCAGCTAATTCATCATAGTAGAGGTGTGTTTTTTACTGTTTTTTAAAATTTGTCACATGTTTTCTTTTGCCACACAAGATGGGACGGCCAGGAGAAATAGTTCTAATATCTTATTTTTAATTTTAAAGTGATTTTACGAAATAACAGCTACTTCATTCATCAAACCAATTTTATGGGATCATTTATATATTCATATATACTTATACGACTCTTTCCCTCTAATCACAAATGTTGTTATCAAAAAATTCCTAACTTTACTGGTTTTTGAGATATCGGTGATGGACATTTTTACCCTCTGACCTTTAAGCTCCACTCAACCCTATATATAATTGAGTGTGTAAAATTTTCTACTTTGATAAAATTTTGTCTGCCAAATAATCAATTTTTACACCTTTCCAGTATGAATCAGACCATACATGCAGATGATTTCAATTAATTAAAAATGTAGCTGAAAGTTGTACATCCATAAATTTACGCATTTACTTTTCCAAAATTAATTAGTTTTAAATCACAAAATTAATTTTAACTGAATACTACAATATTTATATAAATTCGTTATTTATGTATTTATAAATTTGGATCGGACAATATTTTTAATTCAAGCAATATCTTTCAGTACAAATTTTACCTCATAAATATTTGCTTTAATAAAAATTTTAAAGAATTAGATTATTTTATATTTTGTCACCAATATTACTAACTTGTAAGCAATAAATATTTCTGCAGCGACATAAATAAACCAATAAATAGAAAAAAAAAACTAATAAATAAATAAATGGATGCAAAATTGAATATATATGAACAAATATTGATAGACACACGTGGTTTCAAAATATTTTTAAATCTACAAACAATCTTTTGAATATTCTGGCTCTCAGTTAAGAGGTTGTTGTGATCTGATTTTAAGTTCAATTGGAAAAAATTATATAAAATCTAATATTTTGAAAACCTTCATATATATTATTACCTTTCTCATATATATTCACATTTGCATTGTAGTAAAATTCGGAGCTGTATATATATATATATATATATATATATATATATATATATATATGTATATATATATATATATATATATATATATATATATACATTTATGTGTGTGTTTATAGATATTTTACATACACCGATTGTGGTCTTTTTCCTATCGCTGGCTATAAAATCTTGATTTATATTTGTTCTATTTTTAATAGAAATACATTTGCTGAAATACATCTTGGGTAAAATATAACTACTCTGCTTGTCATAACATATCTGCAATATAAATCAACGCAAACATTAATTACTTTTATATTTGTGCATATAAACCATAAAATGCGAATATTTTTTTAACACATGAAAATATTAAATCAAAACAATCATATTTTATAGCCTAAATAAAATAATTGAATTACTTGCTGGCATCTGACGAAATATAATTTAGATCTTGATATATGTATATACATATGTAGTAAGTGACGAACTGATTTTCTTCAAGTACTAACAATAAGTTCAAATGATCGTTGTAAAATCGCAAGCAAAATTTTTGATTTTATTATCTTTTGTATAAATTTGGTGTAACAGATGTACGTGTTTGTTTTTTTTAGTTTAATGCCGTGCAGAAATTTTTGTAGATATTTAGCAAAATTGCGAAAAAACAATTTTCGTGATTTTGTTTCATGTCAAATTATATTATTAACTTCCCGTAGGGTAAAAAATTGAAAATTAAAATTTTTATACGTTTTAAAGGTTTCTGATCATTTTGGCGTACCTTAGAAAAAAAGAAAGTATGTGTGTGTGTATGAATGTGTGTGTGTGCGTGTGCTTGTTTGTATATAAGTGCGGATACAATGTTTCCTCGACGATTTCAAGAACACGGATTAACTAATTTGAATAATTAAAAAAACGATAGCTTAAATACTTTATCAGAAAGAAAAATCAGTTGTTTTAAATGAATCTTTTTTAATACTTACTGACTATTAAAAGTACCTTTAATTCCATTATTTTTTGTTATATAAATTCTGACAATTTTCCATCTATATATTTTCTTCACTTCTGAGTCTTGTGTAAAATTTTATTAAATTTT